GACGCTGCGATGCGACTAATGTAAAACCAGCTTAATGTTGCTAGATATTTTTCGTCAGGAAATGGTGGCGCTCAAGTAGCCCAAAGTATAAAGTCACTAGATTAACAAAGTACCGCGAACTGCCGCCATTTTGGCTCCATGACGCGGTTATTTCAAACTTATGTATGAATATAATTAGGTTAGGATTGCATTTTGGATTGCACTTACTATATAGATACATTACACTAAATGCAATATCTGCACTCAACGTCATTTTGGCTCCAAAAATACGTCACTTCAATTTTCTTATCGCGGTACTTTGTTATCTAGACTTTACCAAAGTAGTCAAGAAAAAATTATTACTTTCAATATATAAGATATTATAACATTAAAAGTATGCGTGCTTATTTATACAGCATTTATGTAATAAAAAATCATGAATTTAATTATGTATTATCGAAATATTTACGTTAATAATCGCAAATTTTTATTAAGATTTCTTGTAAATGTTAAAATCTCGACCTATGTAAAACCACACTTCACAGCCCCTACAGCACAAAAGTTGCAGCAATATTGCAGCATTATTGCAACGATATTGCTGCACATTCTGTGCTGTATGGGAATGTATTCCAAGATAATCAATTTCTGATAGGTCAAAATCTTAATATTTATTTCTGTTCTTAAGATTTCTTTGTGCGCAGCCCCTAAAATGATACCCCTGGATGGCAATTGGCATTCGGGTGAGAATCTGAAGACAGTCCTGATAGTTGAAAATCAAAAGATAACAACGGGCTAAAATGGCAAATGCAGATCAAAAAAACGATTGAATCTTACATCTTTAATGAAAATATTGATTAAAGCAATAAACATTTCAAGTTATTTATTTAAATAAAAACGCATGTAGGAAATAAATTTTATATAAATTTATGTATAAATAATAGAGAACTTGTGATATTTATGTAGGTGGTGATTCCTCAGACTTGTCAATTTTCTTTTCCATGCTCTTGTGCTTTTTTTGTTTCGGTTCCCATAAACTGTTCCTCACAAATCTCTTAGCAGCATTTGTGTCGACACGTGGCATAAGTGTATTTTTATCATTGATTTGTTTCGCTCGTATCATCGCTTTTTTCAATCTCTCATTTTCTGATCTAATTCGATGCTTCGACGGATCGATTCCTACAATCAATAATAATTTAATAATCAATGCGCACGATGTAAATTGACTATTTAACTTGTATCTTAAAAATTACAATTTTTACGTACCTTCGGCTTTCAAGTACATCCAAAATAGACTATTAAGACTATAAGATAACAACAAGTTATATTTAATTTTATCTGTATTGGAAAGTTTATCGAGTAGCGAAGGATCGCTAATCAATTCTGCCATATCCTGGATTTTGAAGGCTGCTTCACTGAACTGCTTCAGTCTAGTAATTATGTTCGCGTCGTGCGAAAGTTCTTCAAAATCAGCATCCATTTCTTAAGTCAATCAAATTTATTTTCCAAGTGACAAGTAATGCTTTATTATTTTTCAAGTGACAAGTAATGCTTTGTCCTTTCGTTTCACTACAGTTACATAACCTCAATTTTTATTCCAATCTCACTATCTTCGTTTTATCTCTCTCTGCTAAAATAAATACAATAATTTTTTTCTATCATCTCCTTTAAGATTTTTCAATACAGATATCCATTCTTTTCGATACACAATATATACAATATACATTATTTTTTTCAATATTACTCTCACCTGACTTTTATTTGCCACTCTCCTTTAACCTTTTCTCTTGCCTTCTAACTCAACATAACCTAAAATAACTGGTTAGACAAAGAATCAGTCTTCGTTATTTTTTATATAATTAATTATTTTAATATAAGTACACATATACAACTTTATTACATATCTATATTATAAATTGTATTAACAATCATTTTAAATAATCTATCATCACACATTAAATCAAATATTTATTCCTCGTATATTCTTTTTTATATAAAATCGGAATCCATTTACAAGCTAGAGAATTAAAAAAAAGAAAAAAAGAGTACATATTGATAATAGAGGAAAATGGACATTTTACGAATTTATTTCTCCTGTAACGATTAAAGTTGCATGCAAAAATCGCACCATTAGAAATTATACATCACAGAATCAAGGTACGATCGTTTTATAATTGCATGCGCGGCATTCTATGTATGTAAGGTATATACATGTATATGTGAAGCGATCACGACTGATCAGGATTGATTAGGATCACGACGTTGCAAGAGTTTAGGCCTGCAGACGGAGATCGAAATGGACGCACTCTTCCCCTCCGGCCTACTCTATGATTCTTTGAGGTTTAAATTTAGCATTCGTTCTCTCGTCCCCCATATATTCCCCGAATATTCGGGAGCGGATAAATTCAATGGCGTATATACGTACAGATACAGAAAAGACGCCGTGATTACGCAGTGAGCTGTATGTCACGTATAGCAATACCCAGTAAACGAGAATGAATTAAAATGGATTGAATTTTTTTTCTATCCGAATGGGTATTTTAAATAGCGAATACTTTTTTTTGGATTTAATTGGATTCAATTGGATTGAAAAACTGCATTTCCTATTCAAAATTTTGAATTGAGCAGTATTCATAATGCATAGAAAAAGCTGATATTATTTTTAGATTGAAAGGCATAGAGATATGCTCCATGCAATTCCTATAAATGAATGAAAATGCATTCAGGATTGAAAAGCATTCATTTTAACATTCGTGAATCCATATTTCTGAAAATCTGAATCCATTTCAATCCATTTCAATTCATTCTCGTTTACTGGGTAATGATACATAAATCCAACAACAAATCTATACCTCGCAATAAAAAATTAAAGTAAGACTCATTAATTTTTTGTTTGCGCTTGTTATCAAGCAACATAATTTAAAATTTATATAATGTTATCCTATGACAAGGATAACTTCTATGGGACTTTGGCACGCTATCCTATATTTATAAATTGGAAAAATGCTATTATAAATTTATGTACTGTATTCTATTACATTATAGGAAGAAAAAGAGATTCGTTAATTAACAAGGGTTGAATCGACGTCATTAAGATGCTAAATAACTTAAAATAGATAATTTTATGTGTATACATGATGACAAGCAAATACAAAAGTATATTACATACTTTGCAGTGTAATTCGTTTCTAATAGGCAGTATTCGGTATTCCGGCAGTCTGAGTTTACACACATTGTAAGATCGTTTCGACTACCAATATCTACAAATGTTATTGTATTGTGTGTGTCGCTGACTCTGGATGGAGTTTTAAGACTTAAGTACCTAAGGCGTCGTCTACAATATGCGAAGTAAGCTTGATTTAAGAAGCAAGAGTAATAAATTGATCAATCACAGTCGATTATTCTTTTCACAATCGACTGTGATTGGTCAATTTCTTACTCTTACTTCTTAAACCAAGCTTACTACGTGTATTGTAGACGGGCCATAAGGCGAGACTTAAACTGATCTCAAGTAAGAGATCAGCTTAGAAATATCGTTTAATGCGTGTCATATCCAATTACTTAGATATGACGCGACGCGACTAAGGCCCAGTTCCACAACTCACAGTTAATTCTTAACCGAGATTCAACTTCCCAGATAGCCAAACGCAGTGTATTTGCATGTTGCAGCAACCAATTTCGACAAACTCAGGACAAGGTGAGACAGCATTATGTCTGTTGCGTTGAACTCAATGGAATTCAAATTCTTGCGATGACAAATTGATGGCAATATGTCAGCATGAATATCCTCGACAACAACTAGTGTTGTCATTGTCAGCATTTTGTTAGCAATGAGCTTGAGACGAAACGATTAATTATTCGTTGCTAACATGTTGCCGACATCATAATGTGCACACCATTGCTCACAGTTTGCTCTAGAAATTTCGACAACTGATTACATATATAAGCAGTCATGTTGTATTTATAATGTGTCCTATTTTGATGTCAGCAAATGTACAGAAAATATATAACAACATATGCAATGCATTAGTTTGCACAATACGCTACATCACGCTTGGCTATCTGGGTTATTCATTGTCTCTTTCCAATTTTAGAATTGGAAAAAGATAAGAAACAAGTTGAACCTCGGTTAAGAGTTAACCGTGAGTTATGGAACTGGGCCTAAGGCACAAACAGCAAAAACTATACTAGTATACTAAACTATACTGAACTATACCGCCGTAGCACGGTACATGCAACGTACGCGGCGTTAACGTTCGCTCAAAGTTCAAACTTGCGTTTCGCTACCAGAATGATAATGTTTCCGGTGTTTCCGATGCTTCTTATGGTTCCTATGTGGCATTTGCGAATTCGTTAACGTTGCATGCTGATGCAATAGAGGATGCTGCGGTGGCGTGAGATGAGTGAGATGGTGAATCTGATGAGGTATAGGATTTGCAGCGTTGTAACAACTGTGTACAACGGGCACGGGATGGCATTTATGTGGAGGTTGTTTGCAGTGCGGCAGTTTACGGCAAGCGTCCGTTACTTCCGGCCACCAAATCCACGCGGCGGCCATCACACCGGCACCGAGGGTCACTACTAATCTTAGGATGAAAACTTGCAACAGAGGACGAACAGGTACGCGAGGTGCCGTTGACGGTTCCGGTGCTCGAAGCCACGTTTCTCTTCCCCACCATTCATAGAATGTCGTGCTGGCGAGGCAAATAATGAGGATGGCGTAGAGGCAACCGAATATGCCGACGCGAGTCAATAGCTGCTTTTGTCGCCGGTGAATTTCCGCTGGGGACGATTTACCGGAGATTTCACGCTGCGAACGCAATGGATTCGCATGGGACGCCGTTAGCGCCGTTAAAACTGCCGCTGCCGCTGCCGCCGCCGCCGTCGACGAAGACGACGACGTTGACATCGACGTCGACGTCGGTGTCACCGCCGGGCGTCGCGGTAACGCCAATGTTGCCAGGCCAATTAAAAGGAATGTTGCGCCGAACGACAGATAGACGAATTGCGGCGCCAGCACTAATACCAGAAGGGAATGCGCGTTCTGCTGGCCGACGAAACAACTCGCTGCAACAGAAAATTAATATCTTAAATTGCTGCGAAAGTCTTTTTTTTTAAATGTCTAGGCTTTACGTATACATATACAGTGAGAGCAAAAAGTATTCGTACAAGGAAATTTGTTATAAAAAAAGTCTTATTTGTAAAAAATAAACATTAATTAGCGATTTTATACAATGAATATATTCTGTTCTAACATAAACAAACGAGCTTCGCATGTATTCCTGATTTTAAAAGCCAAATTTCTCGACTGTACGAATACTTTTTGAGCATCCAAACAATACAATTTTTAATTGTCACTTATTTTTTAGATGATACGTTCCCATACAGCACCAAACTTCTACAGATGTTCATAGAACATTTTAAGAATGTACTTAGAACGTTCATATACTTTCTATTAATGTCGTGTGCTATCTGGATTTTCTATAATTAATACACATCTTTTTAGTATATATAATTTTAAGAAACATACAGTCTATTTTATTCTTTATGAATAAATTGTTAATTACCCAACTAGAAATGATCGTCAATTAAACGTCGAATCGACATCAAATTGTTGAAATCATCGTATCTATATCGATTTGATATTAATTGTCGCTCGACGATTCATTTCTCGCTGGATAATATTTACTTTTTAAATATAAAGTTTTTTAAAAAAATATTTTCTCTGTACGAATACTTTTTTCACTCACTGTATGTACAATAATAGATGTACAATAACATACGGAGTATATCGCCAAACGGAGAAAAGAATCAGAAAGAACATCGACTGATAGGATGTATATAGCTTTAAATTAAAATTACAATTGCGGAACGTTTCGTTATTTAATTGTTGTACGATGTAATATAAACGTTTGCATTTATATAAAGACTTAAAGTAGGTTACTTGAAAGTAAGAATATAAGAGTCTTAAATATAAGAATCTACCATGAATACCGGCCTAATAATAAAAAGGACTGACATTTTTTTTTATGTGCACATAAGGGTTTCAAGTACTTTTTTGGTTTTATATCGATGGACAGAGTAGTGACAAGTTGTGAGGCAAGTTTTATTTGCATTGTGAATGTTGCCTGCAGCTAGAAGAGAAGCAAACAAAGTAACTTATGATACTACCTGAGCTCGTTTCTTTAGATGCACACGTGGATAACTTGGTAACTTGTCGAAATACAGTTAGCAAATTGACTCGACTGTATACTAAGAATTAAAGTACGCAGATTCCGAGATAAATGTTCCTTCGCGGGTATTCGTAGATATTGCGCATCTTCGGATGTTGCCCGAAACAAAGTATAGTCGTTTAAAATTTTTTTCGAGCGCATTCTCCGATCTAATAATTCGCAATGTAATTATAATTATTATTTTTTTTTTTAACTAGAGAACGCGAGCGTGAAGAATTTTGGTTCTACTTCTCACGTGCTGGGAAAATTTTTATTTCGCGAGGGAGAATGCGGCTGCAGATCCCGACATACTGACGGTGGAGCGCATCGCTGACATTCCTTCCGCGATCCCACGAATTAACTGGATCGACCTAATTTCATTTTTTTTCTCTACTCCCCATGATCGGAGACTCGAAACATAGCACAAAGAGAAACATCGAGCGCGAAATGACTACGAGAAACTAAATAGGTTTAAAGATAATATATTTCCTAATATTTTTCAGTATTTTTCATAAAGTCAATTATTCACGTGTGCTGTATCTCTTTGTATTATCCGTATTTACACATTCAAGGGTAAGTAAATGTAATGATTATATGAATAATCGAAGGTTGTGTCGCTACGCTCCGAACCCGAACCGGTCGTTTAATTCGAAGATGCTAATCTCGACTGGTCGCTCTCGAGCATAACTTATCGAGAATCGAGAACGTAAATACGAGAGAGCGCGACGGTGCGTATTAGCATAAAATAGCTTCAACTGGACCACTCGAATTAAGATCGATGGAGGGAAGATGGCAAGGACAGATAAAGATAGGAATAGGGATAAAAAAAAAACAACGATTGAAGACTATAGAAAGGGACGCAGGAAATCTCTCAGGAGCCTGCGAGAATCCCGAGGGGACCCAACTACGCCAATGGCGCAACCTCATAAAACAAACGGTATAACGAGGCGTGGCCGTAAAACCACTCCGGGCATTCTTCTTAGAGGCTGACCAATAACGCGAGTTTTAACATCATGCGCCATTGCTTGGCCCAGCGTAAGCTTAAAACTGTTAAAAGCTGCAAAAGTCCATACAAGGGCACGTACATCAACGTCGACGATGAGCGCGAATAAAGACGTTAGAGATGAAAATCTATTCGTTGCGTTGGCGTTGGCGTTGGGGTGATTCGGTAAAATTCCTTCGAGGTCAATCGAGGTGTCCAACTAGATGCCTAACAGGATTGGGACTTACCAGTCAACTCGTCGGCGTCAACATCCCTCGTGACCAGCACGGCGATAGTTTGAGCAGCGGGGAGGCTCCAGGCCGCGACGGTGGCGACGGTTGAGAATCCCTGCTGCAGTCCGAAACTATCCTCCTTGTAGTTGCCAGCCGTTCTCGTCCATTTTCTGGCCATTATGCACCACCACGCGCATATCACGACCCACCTGTGGTCCAAATCGTATCGAATAGAGCAGGAATTTTACACACAACAATTGTTGTTACTCGCAACAACAACGATTCGATTTAGATTAGATTCTACGATTTTGACAATTAAAATAATCAAAATTAAGTACGTGAAATTTCAAGTATGCAAAAATTGCAGAACGCGCGATGAAACTACAAAGTTTGTCGGTGGACGTGGAATTGTCGATCACGTTCCAAGAGCCTTCGATCATTGTTCGAATCGATTGCACATTGTACGGCCCTGCGAGTTTGCAACTCGAATAAATAAAAGAGGAAGGAAGGAAGGAAGAAAAGAAGGAAGGAACGCGCGAGGAGTCGAGAGGGCGGCTATAGGCGGGTAGAAGGTAGAAGGTAGAAGGTAGAAGGAACACGTACGTAGCACGAGAGTGAGATGGAATGACGCGCGAGGCGGCCGATGAAGTGTTTGCGCCTCGTTTGACCTGTTCGCGCTGCTTTTCGATCTTGTCGAAGAGAGAGAGACTCGCGTGATTAATTAGTCGCCGTGGCTTTTCTCCGCATCCTCTTGGTACTCTCTCGTGCTCTCTCGGCGAGCATAACTGGTTGCCGGGGAGAACGGATTACAGGCAGTGCAAATGTGATAGGGTGATGTGGCCGCGCGCTGCACGGTGCAGACTGCAGTTGCACGTGCGTGCAGTGCACGCGCTGCGAGGAGTGCGAGAACGACCGACGAAGAAAGGCACGTTCTGTCTCTCACGCGCGAGAGTCGGGACCAACACGCACCGCTGGACGCTGGACCATTGTTCGTTCCAGGCAGTTCCAGGCTCCGAAACGGTTCTCAGCGAGTCATTGCTCTCATCGAAGCGATTCTTCGCGCGGATGGATATTTACGACGCGCGAGCGCGAAATCACTCTCATTACGTGCAAATTTACAAACGTAATCTTGTCATTAATTGAAATCGAAATAAGACAATTAGCGACAGATATGTATCTAGAGAATTTGAGATGTATAACAAAAAATCTCATCTCTATTTAAAAAAAATTAATTCTTTTTATAAATTATAGTTTTAAAAAAGCCGCTTTTTACAAAAACTGGAAAAAAACCGAAAAAATTTCAGTTTTTTTCCGAAAAATTGGTTTTTTGAAAAAATTGCTATTTTTGTTATGTAAAAGACATAATAAATAACTTCTAAATTCCTTTATAAAATTAATGCGATTTATGAAATTATGTAGCATTATTTTTATTAAAACTTTTTAGTTATCCTTCTATTTTTATAGTAAAAATAGAATAAAATAGAATAAAAAAAATAGATATCCTAATCTAACTTTCCTTCAGTACATGGCAAAACTTAAGTAGACAGATTTTCAATTCTAGTTTGTCACACTCCGGTCTAATGAACTTCTGAAGTGTCTGTAGTTAATTTTTTTTCAAATATTTCGTTACGAATTCAGTTTAAATCCAAATTATTTTCTAGACCTACTATTATCATATAAACATGATGTTTGAACTCTATATTTTTAATTCTTGCATTAATGGTGCAATAGTGTATGTTTTATTGAATACATTATGCTTCAATCTTTTATACAATTTCAAAATTTTTCTTAACTTATCTCGCTGTGTACCCTATACGCAATTATTTTCTTTACAGAAAGAACCGAGAAGCAAACGTGGTAGGTTTTACGAGCACGCGTGAATTTTTCCAAAATGAATTTTTCTACCCTTGGGAAAAAAACCGAAAAAATCCGCGGAAAAATTGAGTTTTTTTCGATCCTTTAAAACTGTATTATAAATACAATGAATCTCGAAGCGGTTAGCTGCGTCGAAAACCTCGATCGTCTCATAAGGCAGTCAACCTTCTCGAGTGTTTGCCGCCTGCACTATAGTATTTACCCAGCGAACAACGGTAGCCGTGTCTCTTGGTGCGCATCTACATTATTGTCCACAGATCTACCAACAGGTAGTCCTCGCACCTTTGTCCTAACATATTGGAGAATGTAACAAAAATAAAGATTCATCTTTTTTAATAAATATACCCGAGTCGAAATTTTAGTCCTACTTTCAACCTCTTTCAACCTCAATTAAATCTCATAAACCTGTTTTGATACTTAAACAATCAAATAGGACCTCTTTTAATGTTACTTATAATCTACAGCTTCTATTTAGAAAACTTTTTTTGAAACTAAAAATTAGATTCGGAAATTTTCCGATAACTGCCATTTACAGGCTCAACGTAGGAGTTCAATTCATTGGATGAAAACCTATTATAAATCTCTAGAGCCTACATATGTCCTAATTATAAATCTTTAGTCTACGTCCTGAAACGTCCTAAGGTTCTCGAAAGATGCCAAGTGAAAAAGCTTCGAGAAGGTTGAATTTAACATTTCCATTGCAGGACTCGTCGCGTCGCGTGTTGCATCGCGCGAGACAGCCCAAAAGTCTCTGAAATTGTGGAGCGAAGATATTCGGCAGATTCGCTAATTCTCTTACGAATTTATTGCGTTTGGAAAAGCAAAAACTCACTCGACGAATTCCGGTCGCGCGGTGATGAATGGTGCGACGCGGTGCACAAGACGCGATTGCATTCGTGGAACGTCGATAAAAAGGGAAAGGGAGAAGAAAAAAAATATCTAAAGGGACGTTAACACCTTGTGGGATGACGATCGCTTTGCAAACCATGGACAATACTGAGTCGAATACAAGTTTAGGCGCTTAGAGAAAATCACTGATATAAAAAAAAGGATAGAGGTGCATATAAGTAAAGGTATATAAAAAGGAAGAGAAGAAAAGGATGATTTTTCTGGACGTTTCCGGCTTAGCGCGAACGATCGATGCGCAGGCATAAGAACGATTAATAAGGAGTAACGAGGTCGATGTCGTCAAAGTATGCGTAATAAGGTCGATTAGTTGGTGGCACGAGATTATTTCCCTCCCCCCTTCTCTCTCTCTCTCTCTCTCTTCGTAACCTCGCTGCCACGACTGCTACACGGCTGGGTGGTCGACCACTCGTAGTTTCCGTGCAACTCGGACTCCGTCGCGGGAGAAGGGCAGAGAGGAGAGACTACCTAACGACTCGCTAACTAACAAAACAAACAAGAGGTAGCTAGTGCCCCTCTCATCTCATCTCGCTGATTATATACCCCGCGGGATCCCTACACGCCGATGCTTCTCTCTCTCTCTCTCTCACCCCTCTCTCTCTCTCTCGCGTTTCTCCCGTTCCCACTCGGCCGCTTCGTCTCCGTCTTTTTCTTATCCTCTCCAAAATCCACCTTGCTCGGTCTTTTCTCACGATGAATTCGGAAAAGTTGATGTTGATGGACGAATTCACTCGCACGGGAAAAGTCGTTTACGTACGTGGTTTACGTTCGTAAAATCAATGGGATTCAACTAATTGTAAGTTGTATTTGAGGATAATTGCAAGAACAAATTTCTGAATCTTATTGTGTGACGAGAGATACAAACGAGATGTCGAAAACAAAGCGAGCGTGAGAAAACGAATAACACTGCTCGGAAAGAAAAAGATGGAAGAGTCCGTGTCAAAAAGCATATAATTTTCGCGTTTAATTTTATGCGTTAAAGCAACTTTAATTTTATATGCTGTGTAGTAAAAAGTGTATTTAAAAGATGTAAAAGCATAAATAGAATCCTACTTAGACTTCCGAATTATATAGATCGTCTAAAGTATGCTTTACGATACGTCAATGTATTTGTAGTATAAAAAGACGCAGGGACGTTCCGTCTTTCTCGAAATAGAGAATAGATTCGAGTCATAGACGAACGCGCCAGATAACTCTGGAGACTCGTTATCGGGGCCCCGATACGATGGCTCCGCCGCGCCGCGTTCCTCACTGGTGCGTAGTCGTCAGTAGAGAGCTCTTATCTTGGATAAATTATCGAGAAATTCTCGGATCCGGGTCCTTAAGCTTAAGGCCCGGGTTGGCGGATAGTGGGCACCGAGAGAGAGATGATGGATCAGCTCTTTCCTCGAGCCCTTCTTTCCATTTGTCCTTTTTCCCTCGTTCTTGAGACGGCCGTCAAACTCTTGGAGCAGAGGGGTAGAGGAGAGGAACGAAGGGAGGAGAGAAAAGAGAGAAACGGAAACACGAAACTGCCGGATTACCTACCACCATGGGACCGTACGATCCTTTCTGTCAATGGCGTAGCACTGCCGATTATCGATTCTTTGAGAACAGAAGATTTCAATAGAGACCGAATCGAATCGTCACTTGAATTTGACAATTTTTGAACTTAAGAAACGTGTGTGTATATATATATATATTTTGACTTTTTAATTTTAACAAAATATTTCATTATAGCAATTTAATCTCACAACTATCGTGAAAATAGATATAGGTAAATAGAAAATTAAATAAAGGATTGTCAAGTAATTTTTTTTATGCATTTCTTGGCGGAGTTTTAATGAAAATGGAGCTTACAAATTCGAGAATTTTCGAAAATGAATTATAATTCCTCTTTTAAAGAAAGCTCGTTAAAAATCTCGTTGCTTTTCACGTAAACTTGACACATGTTGCGGGAATAATGTGAAAAGGGAGGTGGTGGAAGGCGAGACAGGACAATGCATGGCTAAGACCCTATGGGTCCACGTTGCGCACGGCTTCGTGGTTTCGTGTCCGGAGGGCGCGATGTTTATCGGCTCTTTCGATGTAAATTATGGCCATACGCTATAGAGTTCGCTACAGCACGGCGGGCAAAAGTATTCGGGCTCTGGGTTCAGGGTCGGTCTTCGTATAGGTTTAACCGTATACTGATTTCTTATTTAAAACTTGCTTTTCAGTGCAAAGCCCCGAGTCCGAGGCTGTACGAATTTCAAAATTATAGTAAACTGTAACATGTGAAGATCGAAAAACACGTGAAAAAAAAAAAATTTTCAATATTTACAGTTTATAGTTGAATGTTTAAATAAATTCGAAAATTATAATCACGAGATTATAAGACGATCGATTTTGCGAAACTCGTTTGCACAATTACAACCACAAATGGTATTCATATATATGAATCATCTTGTTTTTGTCCGAAGCGTCGTTTCGTCCATCTCCTACCTTCTCCTCTTTCTCTCTCTCTCTCTCTCTCTCTTTCGTTCTGCTCTTCTCGCACTTTCTTTTTCCTTCTCAAACAACTCGCTTTCTCTGAGATGGAATGCCATTGACTCCATGCATATCTGGCAACAAGGTTCCTCTCCGACCCATCTCACATACCGGGTGATCTTCGTTTATCTTTTACTAAAAGATTTACGAACGCAAAGTACTTATTAAAATTCTGAAAAATGTATGCAGATAAAAATCTCAAGACTACAGGCGGCAGTAGTTTCAGCTGAAGTAGTTTAGATATTGTGAAAAATCGAAAAATTCTGAAATCAAGTATGTACAATGCACATACCACAAATTTGATGAAAATAATAAAGAATCGAAGAATAATCTTTTACAAAGCTCTCTTTTCGTAACACGAATATTGAAATTTCAAAATTGTAATATCTCTTTGCGCATCGTAAAATTTTGCAATTTATAATGAAAAAATACATTTGTCACATTAAAAAGTACATTTTCTACAAAAACACACGTTGAAACTCTATCGAGTCTTTTTTATACAACACACGACGTAACATTGGATTATCGGAACAAATATACGGGCGAACGCGGATAACTTTTTGCTCAAGTATGCCACCCGTTAGACGCGTTAAGATGAGCCTCTCAGTATAAACGGGATGAGATGGGATGGGACGAGATGGGAGTCAGAGGCTCGTTAGCGGCACGAGGGGAGTCAACACTGTTGCCAGATTGTTATCCCTACCTCGGACGAGATGCAGTCTCGCCGCAGCAAGGTGCAGCAAGGCGAGTAGGCGAGTGCAACAAGGCGCTCTGCAACACTCGACAACTTTGAAACAACTTTGAAACGAGAGTATCTCATTTGATTCTCGCACCTGTGCGTAATTAAAATCTATGAATAACGATAAAGAAAACTTGTTGAAATTCCTTTTTCACTAAACGAAATTGCATCAGCCAAAATACACCAATATCGCACTCTGCGTTGTTTACAAATATACGATAAATTAAAAGATTTCAAGGAGCGATTGATGAAATGTAAATAAGAAATGTGTAAACTTACCAAACGATCGCTGCGTTCTCAAAATAATAAAGTAGCAGAAAAACAACGGCGCAATACGGATTAGCTAGGCCGTCTTGCGTTAGGTACTGTTGCTGCTGTTGCTGCTGTTGTTGCTGGGCCAAGACGGCTTGATCCTGCGAATGTAACTGAATCGCAGGAGTGCAGGCGACGTTTAGCCGGCCGGCAGCCAATCGAATCACGTAGCCAATTGCGACTGCCGCATGACAAATCGTCAGAAAGACTATCGCACGCTCTGTAAGCAAATATTAATCATGTTTTCAATTTTAAGAATTTAAATACAATGCAATGGCATGAAGAAACGGTTTGCATTCGCAGAATCAATCAAACGACTGCAACGGC